CCGGAGAAGCGCCCGGATGAAGAGGAACCCGGCTCGTGAGAACGCAGCCTTCACTGCAAGCGTGGTGGACGGGCAAGACACTCGCGCTCCCACCCCGCGTCAGGCCAGACTCTCCCGCCTCTCCAGGTCGGGACCTCCGCTCATGACCCTGCCCGCTTCTCTCCGCCGGTGATCCCCCCGCTGGATCCGCAGGGAAGGTGCCCGGGAGGCCGGGCCAAAGAGGAAGGTCCTTCCTGGGCCGCGGCGCCTTGACCGGCCCCGACCGCCGCCCCGGGGCAGAGCCGCTCTGACCCGCGCTGTCCTTTGAAGGCCGCCGGCCGGCTCAGAGGCCCGCTTACAGGTAGCGACGCCGGCCAGGCTTGAGGGCTCCCCAAAGGGTGGGTGTCACCCCGAGACCCTCTCGGTGCCTCCGCCGCCGCCGGACGGCCACTGGACCCCTGCATTTTCTTGGGTTGGGGGAAGATTTTGGGATGGGTTAGACTGTTGGGGGTTGCCCACGGGAATTTCCCCCCTCCAAGTGGTGGATGTTGGACAAAGGCGATGGGGGGAAGACAATTCGGGTGATTGGCAACCCCAGAGGGATGGGAGCGGGAGCTGGGGCACCGGAGGGAGGGCTCCTGTTTCCTCCACCCTGTCTTCACAAGAGTGTCACTCTGAACATCAAAAAGAAAAGCCTAGATCTAGGGAAGATTTCCTAGATCTACAGAAGATTTCCAGGGAGTGGTGCTGCGGGTGGGGGGGGGAGGGAAAGATGCCCCAGGGTCCCAAATCTTTGCAAACTATGTCCAGGTTTTGCCCCTTCCAGAGGGGGCAACAAGGGGAAGGGCAGGAGTGGGTGGGGAGAGCAGACCTCATCCTGTGTGTTGGGCCATAAACCTGGGCCTGTTGGAACCGAAGGCAGTTGTTACAGATTTGTGTTTTAAAGTCAAACTGTTCACTTTGAGACTTTGGGAAAGAAGTGAATGTGTGGTTCCGAGAGAGAGAGAAAGAGGGTGGAAAAAGCATGTCTGTGCAGTCAGATTGCACGGTTATTTATCAGATAGCCCTTTGATTATTATGAGTTGTCTTTGCAATGCAAAATTGTCCTTTTCTAGATCAGCAGTTATGCAGAAAGAGCTTTCTTACAACGTGGGAATTACCTTCCTATCAGTGTTGAGGAACTAATGCTCTGAAAACAACTTTCCCCAGCTCAGCTGTCTTCATCTGCGTGGACCTTGACTGAATGCTGGTCTATGACCATAATTAACTTGAACTGATGTCCCAGGCAGTGTTGTAACTGCTGAGGGCTCCTAGAGTTAAACCCACACACTATGGGATGCTATCCCCCTACAGGTAGTCCTTGGGTTACGACCACTCGTTCAGCGACCGTTCAAAGTTATGACAGTGCTGAACAAGGGGGACTTACAACCAGTCCTTGTTGCAACGTCCCCAAGGTCACATGATCATGATCTGGGTGCTTGGTGCCTTGCTCATGATTATGACATCACAGCAAGCCACAGTCACATGATTGTGATTTTCAATGTTCTCTGCTGCTTCCCACAACCAAAGTCAATGGGGAAGCTGGCAGGAAGTCGGAAGTCACTCCCGCTACTTTTTTGCCCTCCTGTGCTCCGTAGCACCCGCCCATTGCACTGCCCCGCAGCACCTACCCTTGCTCTGGAGTGTCTGCCAGCAGCACCCTGCGGCACCCACCCATACTCCGGAGTGCCTGCCCACAGCACACACCTGCTGGCCTGCTTGCCTGGGACTCACTCCCGCCTCATCCTGCTTAACGACCCACACAGTCCTGGGGTTATGATGACAACTGGGACTGCCAGGATTGCCATCGCTAAGCAATGCAGCCATGTGATGTCATGCTTTATGACTGCATTCCTTAGTGATGGAAATTCTGGTCCCAACTGCTGTCATAACCCGAGGACTACCTGTACCTTTGGCATCCTCTTCTGGCACACATAGGAGCAAAAGCTAGCCAGAGAGGTCTCCAAAGCCAAGTTGAGGATATCTTTAGATTAGAACTGGCAAAGTCAGAATTAATCAGCAAAGAATCTGGGTCAGTTTGAACAGTGTCCCTCAACCAATTGGAAATAATTACCTGATGGGTACAGATACTGGGTTAGATCCCTTCAGACTCCAGGTAGATGCACATCTGGAGAATGGCACTGGCTTCCACCACCTCTCTCGGATTGGTGTTAGCAGAGACTGTGCTTGCACACTTGCTAATTTAATGTAGCATCAGCATCTGTGATGATTGCACTGCTGTGGTGATAGGCTGAAAACTTTGACTCTCCCTGCTAAATGATCCTTCCTTCCTTCCTTCCTTCGCAACCATTAGGAAGGAAATTGCAGGTGGCAGTTCAAATGTGGGATGTGATCTTTCGCAGTTTCACAATAAAACAAGAGCAGGTGATCTTTGGCCAGTGGCACATTTGATATTTGGAGAGCATGTTGTGGGGGTGCTCACAGAATAGCTGTGATACATACATACCGTTATTGTGGTCACTGACCGGAATGCAACAATCAACAGCAGATGGAACAAAATAAAGCAGTTCGTTATTAGGTCATTGATGTGATCAAGCAGTGTTTGGTTTTACAGACAATGTAACAAAATTTGACCATGTTCATAGAAACAGAATCATACTGCTTTGGTAACAACCACACATAGAATAAATCAGAATTGCCCTGGTACTTTATTAAATGAGGAGGGATAAGATGGGCCCTTGCAGGACATGGGCTATGGTTTCGACAGACCCTTCTCTGCAAAGGCACAATCTTAGCTCGTGAGATTTTTTTTGTATCTGCATTCAAGAATCACCATGGGGAGTGCGTTAAAGAGCGCTAAAGTTGGTCCCCTCCAGAATTTAGGGATAGTTGTATGGTGTAGAGATCTTGCTGGCCTAAAGAAAGGGGCCTGACTGCACAAGAAAAGGTTCCTGGGTAGAACTGATAGATCCAGTTGGGCTTCCAGATCTCAGACATGTCCCTTGAGTGTGCTATGTGCTTGCTCGCAGAGTAGAAAACCCTCCATAAAAAAACCACAGTATTGGAGGTTTTGCAGAACTGTCCTATTCCATCTTGATTCATAATTGTGTGCAAGGAGATAAGAACCCAGACCTTCTGAAAAGAACAACAGCTTCAACCAGTATGTGCTATGCACCATGAGCTGAGTGGTACTCTGAAAAATCATCCCCAAATATTTAAAGGTTTTTACTTGTCCTACAATCTGGCCATTTAACTGCCAAATGTGCATTCTAGGTTACTTAATGAAAATTAAGATCTTTGTTTTGGAATAAATGATCTCAAGTGTTTCCTCCGAACAAAAGTTGGCTAGGGCACTCGGCTCTTTTGAGTCCAGTTGGCGTTTGTGACAGAAGCACTACATACAGAAAGGCTGCGATATGCCTGTTGACTAATTGCAGAGGAGGTACCTAGTTATTTTGCCCACAGAAAGGTTATATACAGATTAAACAAGAAGGGTGCCAAAATATATCTGTCTCACTCCTCTTCAAGTTGGAATCTCTTTAGGATAATGGCCTTGTGTACTGCAATAAACCTTCATTCAGGAATTCTCATAGAAAGTTATGCATTGATAACAGTATGTGTCTATCTGTAGGAGAATGTATAAGTTTATCCCACAACCTTGTTCTGGAAATGAAATCAAATGTAGACCTAAAATCAGTGAATGTGGTGTATAGTGCAGAACCTCTTTTCGATGAATATTTTTAAGCCCGATGCCGCAGCATTAGGCCTGGTCAAAGATAGAAGTTCCAGCTCTAAAGCCTGCTTGCTCATCGGCCAGCACATGCTCTAAATTAATCCATTCAGCCAATTTGTTGTAGAGA